ACAGAAGGAACGCAGCAGCTGTAGTTTAATCCAGGATACGTCTGTATGCATCAGGTCCTGAAGCTCTGTGTCCAGATGTAGTGCACGCCCTGTGAATATCCTCTAAACCCTTGATTGGACTTTGCTTCACAATTAAAGCTGCATTTTAACCTGTTGCTTTAGCACCTTTTCTTAACAAATTTAACATACCATACAACTGTCCATCAAAATAATTTAATAAAACTCTCTGTGAACAGCAGACAAGTTTAGCACTGTCAAGTCAGTCCCTTATTTAGATGGTAATGTTGTTTTTCTGAATTTAAAATATCAATTTTTCACCTTGTTTTAACCTTCTGAGACACTAAAGGTTGGTTTTATTTAGCTGTAAACCAGTAATCCTCTATATGAACCTAAATAACAACACTGTTTATAATTAGTCTACATAATAAACGACTTGCTATCTGATTGATTTAAATGAATAAAATGTTCAATGAATGTTCTAGTTTATGCACCATGAATGTATCATAGCAGCGACCAAACAAATCTTTGCTCATCAACTGTCTCATATTGACCAGCAGATGGCAGTGTTGCATTATGGCATCAATTGAACAGTCTGTTTTGTATGAATGTAGTTCTGGCCCTTGGGTGATTTCATACAAGTAAGGCATGAATGAATTTAGGCTCTATTCAGAGATTTGTTTTAGCTGTTGCCTTGTTTTATTTAGCATTTTTAAACAGACTGTAAGGCGTTGCACATGTACACAACTTTTAAGCAAAAAGCTTCAATACTTTTAAGAAATCAAGCAAAACGTTTTCTTTTGTAGTGAAATTCTAATTTTAGATCTAATTTAAAAAAAAAATCTCTTGCTGTTGGACAATATTATGGTTGCACAGACATAATAACACTATTTGCCTGTGCAAAATCTTATGACAACCACAAAACAGGCTTAAGTCAAAGGCCTCCTTGGTACCTCTGGTCAGCTGATCCGAGGGACTGAGATGAATCAAGAAAAAACTCAGGTAATATGCTCCATTTAAAAGGTGTGCAGCAGCATTTCTCACAAACTGAAGGCATAATAAGGAGGACTGACTGACTACAAGATTAAAACAGTTGTAATAAAGGCATTTTAAAGTCATTGTTAATGTGACCCCGCACTCCACCAGGGAAGAAGCAATAATTACATATGAATTAGAAATTCCCAAAGGACGACTCTCAAGCAAAGCTAGACTTTTGCATTTTCATCCAAATAAGGCAGAGAAATTGTTACAGAGATCATCGCTGTTTAGAATAATCCTTATTGTTCATAAAGAGACTTGAAAATCTTAAAATACCAGTTTTTTTAAACATAATAGCGGTGTATAACTCTCTATTAACCAAAGAAAGTTTTTTTCCATCTCATATTATAATTGTTTAAGGTATACGTTTCTTTTTTCTTTTTTAAGAAACATTTTCAAAGGAATCTAAGAAGCATAAATCTTCCACTGAAAAATCATCACAGACTTCAACTCTAATTGTACAAAAAGCTAAGGTTTGTGGTTTGTGGAGGTGGTGCATAAAAGGCTTCTTAGGTTTTGATGAATTTCCCATCATGCAGGCTGCACATGAAATGATGGAAGCAATGAATTATGAGCTAATGGATAAATACAGCTGCACAAATACATACTGCAATGGACCAAGGCACAGACTGAATCATGGATGTTGCATTGGGAGGATTTAATAAAGTGCCCATGTCATTAACTATGGCAGGTGACCCATATTTTTGTTGTAGTTTAGTTGCCTTACTCATGCACGAAACTTTCAATTATGTGTATTCTAATTAATGCACTAATTTAAATGTGTATTAAATCAAATATGTTTTTAGATGGTGCAATGGCAGTGGGAATCCACCAAGACTACTTGTGTTTAGGGATTTTATGCATTATGTAAAGACAGAAACTAGCCAACCCTTAGCTAGGGTAATTGCTCTCCTTTATTTGAGGTTAGCATTTATTGTGAAAAGCTATGGACGTTTGTCTGTTGAGTCTCTGAGTTAGAGTTTGATGGATACTTGACATTTCCAAGGTGGTCATTGAGACTTTTGTATTCTAATCATTTTACTAAAACAATGCCTGAAATATCTCCATCCTAATAAATTGGGCTTTTTCCTTCAGGGCTGATTCTTTAAAGATTCCAAATAAAGAGTGCTTAATTGCACACATTTTTTTTTTTTTAGAGTAAAAAGTAGCCATTGTCAGAATTAAAAATCCTTTGATTTATCCTGTTTTGTTGTTAATGACACTTATATTTTTATCTTTTTTTATCAATGTCTGACAAGATTTAAAGGAAAATGTAAATTTTAGTAAAACTGGTATATTCTTCTTCCTTTTCGGTCCCATTTTTCTATCACTACCTCCCTCTCACTCTGAAAATGTAGGCCTTACAGCTCTCTTTGAGTCATTTTTGGAATTGGCTGAAAGCACATTAGCTGTAATTCTCAAAGGAGAGACACTTCGAGGAAAGCCATGACCTGAATCCTCACTATACATGTGGATTTTAGTCTTTCACTGCACTTGAAAAAATGGCTGCTTCAGATTCATGCGCCTGTATAAGTCCCTGAGGAAATCTTTATGCAGAAAAATGATTTCCTATAGGAGGGAGACCAATCTTAGTATTCGTGACAGTAGATTTCACTCTAATATCAGATCTACACTTTTTAAATGGCCCAAAAATCATATGCTCTATCTAAAGTTTAAACCTCTTTGGTGAATATTATGATAAATAAATATCTATTGTTTTTTGCCATGATTTGTTTTGGTAAGTCAAATTTCCCAGCAGGGGGAGTCTAAAGTTCTTGTTGTTTGCGTTTGTTAAAAACAAAGACATAAGCCAATAAGAAACCAGCTCAAGGAATTAAATAAGGGCTCTTTGTGACCATGGCAACAGCTTTACCTCAGTGACAGATAGAAGGTGAGAGATAGAGATGGAAGAGGAGATAATTCATTATTGACTGAACTCAGAGGGTTGCTGCAAACTTCACTGGGCAGTTAGCCTAACTGTAAAGGGAATCATGGTGACCTGAAAGCATGCTGGTCCTTTTCTGTCTACGGAAGCCAACAAAAGGCTTAACTAATCAGAGAAAGCCAAGGTAATAAAGGTGAACAGTGAAATAGGACTCGTCGTTAGTTCTGCACCTAAAGCTGTGTGTACAAAAATAGAAACACAGACTGAGGAATTACCTTTACAAGTTGCATGGCATTTTTAACATGGAATTCCCTGTAAAAGTATTCAGACCCTTTGCTATTCATCATCTTATCAGGTTAAAACCACAAACTTCACAGCATTTTATTGAGATTGCACAGAATAGATCCTCACAAAGAGTTGCCTGCAGAAAACAGAAATTTGAAACTGGTTGAAAAAAAGAATATAGAAATAGGTAAAGTTTGTTGTGCATACAAATTCAGTCCCACACACCAATAGATATAGAACAAATATAACAATCACAAACTACTGGTAGTTTGGTGTCTCTACCACCTTTGCATGGAAACTAAATTTTATATGCAAAAACAGCTCAAGATCAGTCATACTTGACTGACTCTTTGAACAAGTTTAACAATCCAGTGAGAAACTCTACTTGGATTTAGGTCTGGACCTCAAATTGACAATTTGACACTAAAATCTGGTTTAATGTAAAGCATTCCATAGTAACTCTGGGTGTATGTTGTCATTTTCTGGATGACTCAACAAGACCTGCAGACAAATGAAAAAGGGTTAATATGTGCAACATTATGGAAGATTAAAGCATCTAATCTGGCAATAATGATTGTGAGTTGGAGTCATGGAATGCGGTAGCCATGATACAGACAGGTGCTCCTGCTACCTGGCAAATTTGTTGCTACACATTTTCTAGGCCCTTCTTTCAACAAAAAATATCTTCTTTTGAACTTCCCAAATTTTTGAGTGAGTGTTTAATAATTGTTTAATCTCTGTTAAGAGATTCTCCCGCCTAAGTTGTAGATCTCTGCAGCTCCGTTAACAGTTACTTGATGTCTTCATTGGTCTTTATGATGCTGTTTGCACACCAGTTTTTTCTAATTTATCTAATACACCTTCATAAAGCAACTAGATTTATATCAAAATGAAAACAAAAAAAGGTTTGATTAGAACTTATACAACTTATGAAGGCAATTTGTTTTACATGATATTATTTAAGGGATTCGGATTAAAAGGGATGGAATAAAAACACACAACAAATATTTTATATTTGATTTATAGAACTAATTCTGAAAACTAAGTATCAATGTTCTTCCATTTAACTATTAAGCCCTGTTTTGCTGGCATATCAAATGTTTACAATAAAATATGTTTACATTTGTGAGCTTAACTGTACAAAATGTGGGAAATTTAAAAGGTTTGTGAAAAGCTTCCCAGGGCATGGTTCACGCTGAGAGATAAATACAGTTCTATTTTTAAATTGAATCTGTAAAAGCTTTCATGAAGAGAAAACAAGTCATAATTCATTAAGAATGTTTAGGAATTTTGTCCCAAAAAAAGGAATGGTACTTTAAACTTAAGCTCTAAGAAGCATTTTTATTTTCTTCTATTTTTAATTTGCTTGAATCCGAACTGGGTAAAAAATACAGCTAATTTGTTATAAAAAATGGTTAAACATGTTTATAATGCCAGTTTATATTTTCATAAAGAAATAACTTACTTTTAGTTTTTGTGTTTACATGCAGGTTAAGTTAACTTACTTTGGAAAAACTTTAAAAAATATATATTATTTTTCTTTGGCCGCTTTTTAAAGCGCTTAAATTTGATTTAACTTTAATTTTCTTTCTATCTCTCAAGGCCACCTTTGTGGGTGCGGCCTTTTTTGGAGAGTTCCAATATAGTTCAGCCTTCAATCCCCTCCCTTCTCCCATGGCTGCATGCAATTGGCTGATGCCCTGTAAATCTTCATTTTAATTGGTTCTAAGTCCTGTCAGTCTAAAAAGTTCCACCCCCTCACGCTTCCTGGGACCAGTGTTTCATTCGTGGTTTAACGGCTGTGGATTACCGCGACGGTGGGGGGGAAGCAGAGCCGCTTTCTGCTAATTTAGCAGGATTTTTTTTTCTTCCCCACATAATTATATGTCAGTCTGATACATTAACTTAACTTTAAAGTTTAGTAATTTTCTTCGGTGCTTCTGGTAGCTTTTAATAACCGAGGCGCGTTGCTATAGCAGGCTTTGTGTCACCTGGCCGAAGCAGCTGACTCGTGCCCTGCGGAGTTCCGAGTAGATCTGAGTTGCCAAAGGAAAACTAGCTAGTTAGCAGCTCAGCCACTTAGCCCGCAAGCTAGCCTTGCTGCCACATTAGTCCCACCCTCAACGAGAGCGTTAACGTCAGGCTGCAGCACTGAGGACAATTTTTGCTCCCTCAGAACTTAGCCAGCATCCTCGTACACCTGGTTGGCTGGAGATACTACCCCCTTCAACTGTTAGCGTAGCTCGGTGGCGCTAACGGAAATAGGACGTTTGTGGGGTTTTTGAGTGTATTCTCTATGAAGGGATACCGTTAAGGGGACTGGCTGAAAAAAGAAGAGGCGAAATAAAGAGCGAGAACAAGGAAGACACAGAGGAGGAGGTGACTGGCTTGTTTAGCCGGGAAGACATCATTTTTGAACGTAAGTGACTCGTACATACAGAGTGTCGTGAAAGTGTGTCGTTAAACGGCTTACCTGACTTATCTAACACAACTTGCAGTGCTTGCTTGGCAACGTTTATCCTGCCTGTCGCTGTTCTGGTGGCTTAGCACCCACAGTCTTTGCGCCATACCACAGTGTAAGCTAAGAGGGGGGCTTTCAAGCTAGCATGACAGCTTAGCATGGATGAGCTGAAAGTGTGTGTGGGGGGAGCACTTTAGATTTTGCTTCATTATATTTGCTGCAGACATTGTTTAATCAAGCAAGCTTATCTGCAAGTTAAGTTGAGTTGGTACTGTAGCTCTTATTCAGCTGGTAGGATTAGCTTAGCTTGATATGCTAGCTCCTTGCAGCCACCACCAAACCAAGTTGACAGCTCAGTGGTTGACGATGCATGGGGTTTATGTTGTAAAACTCGGCTAGTTTTTGTTTTTTTTCCAACTCATTATCTGTCGACTTCAGCTGTGAGATATCTGTTTCTCAGCTTTAGATAAAGTAGGCACTCAGTGGTGACAGTGTCACCTAAGGTAGTTGAACTGAATTAAAAATGCAGTGCAACGCTGTTTCTGTTTGGGTGTCAAACCTCATAATCTCCTTAAATCTTCCCAGCCCGCGTGCATCCTTTTTTTTCCCTCGTGCTAAGTTGTCATCACCTTAGTGAGCCTCCACAGTCATGCATTGTGTCGAAATAACAAAAGTCACATCTGTTTAAATCAACAATCAGGCTGTTATAGACCACACCACGTGCAAGTACTCAACGCATGACAATTATTTTGTGAGCATTATCGCTGTCCTCTATTAATATAAATAGATTGTTTATTTTAAAACAAAAAAATAAAGCTCACTTTGGTTATTTTTTTGTAATAGCCCATGTAGGAATGCTATGACTTCATAATATATCACATAATTAAATCACAATTTATTTTTGGTCCAGGGCTGAAGAATGCCAAAACCACACTTGTCAATGCTATATATATACTAATAGAAGTTGCAGTCAACCCATATTTTTCTCACTCATCTCTTTATTTTTTCATCAGAGGGATGGCCTCACAATTTTCCAAAGATCATAGCTTTTTAGTCTCTAAATACAGACCAGCTCTGGGCATACAATTCAGTAAAAACTAAAAAAGTGTATTGTTGCCATGTCTCAGTTTAATGCATGATGCCTGCAATGTAAGGGTATGGTGTTCAAGCAGCTACTTTTCATGGCTACACTACAATTAAACTAACTATTTCACTGTGCTTTTAGTTGATGATCAAATACTATGTTGCTCTAGACACAAACAAATCAATTGTTATATTTGATTATGTACTTTTCACTATTTGAAAGAAATGTGTGTTATTTTAAAAGTTTTGTCAAACATAATCAATCGGAAGATCTGCTAAAACTTTGTGACTGTCATTTCTCTTGGCTCATCATTAGCTTCTGGGTTTCATGTCTCATGCATCTAGGTTCTGTGGCTGTGGTTAAAGATCATAGCTAGCAGAGCCAAAAACTCTCTATCATAACTTTGGCTGAAATACACAGACATGGTTGTCAACAAACAACCATAAAAAGAAAGTCATTCTCTGACTCCGATTTAAAAATGCCCTACAGCACTCTTAAAAAAAAAATCTTTAGTTCTATGTATTTTTGTGGTTAAAGAACCATTATTTGATTATTATTTTTAGGTTTTACAACAAAAAGATCAAACTTTTTCAAATTCAAACCAAATGTATTTTCTGCTAAAATATTTCCTTCCACTGAAGAAGGGGTAGTTTGTTGCTTTATTTAAAAAAGATAGCTGAGGAATTTCTATGCTGATACTAATTTTAAATAATAAAAAACATTTTGCTTTTAGAATTTAAAATATTTTTTTTTGTTGCAGAAATCACATGTAGCACATTTATTATTTGAAGAATATTCTTTCTTACTACAAATTATAGCTCCTTCTGAAACCGAAAGTGGAACATATACGTTTTTCCCACGCCCTACTGCGTGGGAAAACATTTATATTTTTGTTGAAAAGTTTTAGAACTTAAGTATATATCCACAGAAAAACATCAACAAATCATTATAGATGGCAACCTTCACAGCCATTATAACACCTAACAAATGTTTTTCTGTGTTTTTCTCTTGCCTTAGATATCTAAAGGCTACCAAAAAGCTAAGCTCAGCCATGAGTATTGAGATACCGGTGGGGTTGACAGAACTGCTGCAGGGCTACACAGTGGAGGTGCTGCGACAAAGGCCGTCAGACCTGGTGGATTTTGCTGTACAGTACTTCACCCGCTTGCGGGACACCAGAAGTCAGGATGGATCCGGCGTGGGTGGTAAACCGGGGAAGGGGGTGATGTTTGATGGGGAGCCCATGCAAACAGAGTCCAACGGCGAGGATGATGAAGACGATGATTCCGACTTTGAACGTAAGTTTCTGCTTTCAGTTTGTCACTTGTTAGATGGGCTTCCCTGATTTAAAGAAGAAGCAAATTAGAATTTATCCGTAGTAGGGTTGTCACGATACTAAACTTTTCAACTCGATACCGATACTAAGGAAAATATTCGATACTCGATGTAATTTTCGATATCACAAGGTAAAAAACAAAGACTCCAAAATTCAACAGAAATATTTTCATTAATAAAATACAATAAATAAATAATATAAACAATAAGAACAATATTTTGAGGTTGTATGCTGTGCACAATATTAAGCAAGCTTGATAAAAAAAACTTATGAAGTTTAAATTAAATGTTCCTTCCTTGGCTATGCTTTGCACACATAACAATGACGCTAGCCAAACAAAAATAATTCTCAGCAGCTGCACCTGTTATAAAAAAAAGTCTGAAACTGAAAAGTGGACAGAATTATTCAATCACAGTGTTCAGAAAGTGCATTGTCCTCTATTCTGCACTTTAGATGCACTTTAGGTGCCACTGGTGGTAGCACTGTATCGATACTTTTGAAAATGAGTATTGTATCCGGATACAACGTTTCAGTATCAATACTTTTTTGAGTATCAATACTTTTGACAACCCTAATCCATAGAACTATCGGAGAATGGGCTAAATGGAGAATTTCTGACCTAAAACAGCTGAAAATGTCTGTTTTTGATTCACTCTAATGCCAATCATATTTTTATAAAGTATTTTT